CCTTGAGTTGTTGTATGGTAGGAGGTGTCGGACTCCCATTTGTTGGGGTGAGGTTGGGCAGAGAGTGATGGGCAGTACAGAGATCGTGATTCAGACGACAGAGCAGATACAACGGGTTAGACAGAGGTTATTGACCGCCCAGAGCCGACAAAAGAGTTATGCGGACAGGTGCCGGTCCGAGCTTGAATTTCAGGTCGGCGATTTCGTTCTCCTGAAGGTTTCTCCTTGGAAAGGGGTGATTCGGTTCAGGAAGAGGGGCAAGTTGGGGCCCCGGTTAATAGGTCCATTTTGTGTGATTACGAGGGTAGGCCGGGTAGCCTATCGGTTGGAGTTGCCAGCAGAGTTGGGACAAATTCACGACACTTTTCATGTGTCGCAGTTGTGGAAGTGTATAGCCGATGAATCGGTAGTGGTTCCGTTAGAGGATATTCAGGTCGATGCAAGCCTGAATTATGCCGAGAGACCAGTGGCCATCAGGGATCGGAAGATCAAGGTTCTGAGAAACAAGGAGGTACCTCTGGTGTTGGTTCAGTGGCAACACCGGAGGGGATCAGAGATGACCTGGGAACCAGAGCGTATGATGCAGGAGCAGCATCCAGAACTGTTTTTAGAGCGAGACTTCGAGGGCGAAGTCTAGTCCTAGTGGGGGAGAGTTGTAACATCCGGATTTTTATCAGGTATCTTATTTATTGTATTTTGTTGATTTGTGAGGGGGACTCGGCGAGTTGGAGCTCAGACTCGCCGAGTAGGGACGCGGATTTGGACGCGGGATCGCGCCTGGACTCGACGAGTCCAGGATATGGACTCGGCGAGTCAGCGCTGTGTAATGAAACCCTAATTTCTCGGGTTTGAGACTTATTTAAAGGGCCTAATGGCCGTCATTTGTGCTCACCAGCCCCTTGAGTGAAACCCTAATCGAGTGTGAGCATTTGGAGCTAAGTAGGAGGCCATTATTGACCTTGGAGGTGCCATTGTTGCAAGGAAGGAGAAGAGCTAGCCAAGGGAAAGCAAGAAGGAGCCACTTCTGTGGGTTTGGAGTCCAGAGCATCACTTTTGTGGTAATAAATCCGAGTTACCTTCTTGTTTGTTGTTGTTTATCTAGATTTAGGGTTTGTTGAACCCTTTTATGGCAAGATTTGGTGTCCTTTTGGTCCCTTATGAGGTTGGAACCATAGATCTGGACCCTTAGAGGTCCAGAGTGTCCCTTTACCCAAGCTTTTTGGGGATCAATGGAGGCTTTGGATTGGAATCCTCATGCCTTAGGTCAAAAACTCCATTATTGAGCTATAGGGTGTGTTATGAGCACCAAGATAGGAGCTTTACGTGATGAATCAGTCGAGGGAGGCCAGATCTATAGTTTTTGGAAGCAGATCTGACCTTAGAAGCGAGTTGGAGTGGTTGCATGGCATGGACTCGCCGAGTCTGTTCATCCGACTCGGCGAGTAGCTTGAAGATTGCCTTGGGACTGCTCAGCGAGTGGTCCAATCGAGTCATGGGTAGACTCAGTGAGTCAGGGTGAGTTGGAGAGGGATGACGAGTGGACTAAGTCAAACTTGGACTCGCCGAGTTGTCCTTGAGACTCGGCGAGTTGAGTCGGAGTGGCCCCGCGATTCATTCAGGTGAAACTCATCGAGTAAAGGGGGGGATACTCGACGTGTAGTAAGAGGATTTCAGAGGGTTGGTGAAAACGTCTAGACTCGCCGAGTCGCCATGGTACTCGCCGAGTCCGGTCAGAGTTGACCGTTGACCTGTGTTGACTTCTTATAGATAGTCAACCTTAGAGATATAAAGTGTTAATTAGAAACGTATAATGTATAGGAGGATTAGAGCTATGAGGTTTGATTCGTAGATAGTACGCAGGTGAGTCTTCTCACTATACTATATTACCTTGAGTAGGTAACCAGAGTTATGTGATAGAGTATTTGTATGCTATGTATGTTATGTGTTGTACTGCATTATTTCTATGTGATTTATGTAGTGCATGTTTATCAGAGCTAGAACCTGAGGTTCACAGAGTTTGGGTGCACGGACCCACAGAGTTATAGCCTCGAGTGGCTAATATGTGTTATATGTGGTATTTTGGGGAACTCACTAAGCCTTGTGCTTACAGTGTTTGATGTTATTGTTTCAGGTACTAGTGACGACCGCGGGAAGGCGCCGGCTTGATCCGTACACACACACTCGGAGTTTTTACATTGTGATCTTGGGATTTTGTATTAACCTATATTGGATAATTAATATGGTTGTTTGATGAATATTAATCGAATTATGTTTTATAAGAAAATCGAAAAATTTGTTTTGAAATTTACGGTGTTACAATTTGGTATCAGAGCCTTGGTTTGAGGGATTCGGGTACACCTTCGGGAGTATTTGAACTCAAACTGAGGAATTGGAAATATATTTTCAAAAGAAAACCTAACTTTTCTAAGAGTAAAAGATTTTCTTGAAAAAGAAACAAATTCCAGGAAGAAACGTGTGTACGATCAGTCAGCGCCCGAACGGTGAATTCCCAAAATACCTTTATATTACGTGATATTAATATTGATATGATGTATCTGCATGCTAGAGTAGGCTAGGTATTGCTAATAGGACTAGAGTGGCCTGATTTGTGATGCCTTAGCCTAGGGAGGGGTGAGCTGCTATGAGATGCTGAGAGTGAGTAGGTAGCAGCAAGGGGTTTATGAGAGATCTATTAGAGAGTGGTCTACACATGATAGAGTACTTGGGAATTGGGATCCGAAGAGGAAGGTTTGGGGTGTGTACTGAGACGGTGTGGACAGTAGTATTAGGCCCGTACTACTGAAAGCACTGGGGCAGTACACAGTCCAAATAAGATTCTTGGGATACCAAGAATCAAGGAGGGGTGGATTGTCGAGTGTAAGAATGTTCGAGTGAATTCTAATTTATCGCATGTTGTATTTCAGAGGTTGATCATGGTGAGGACACGTCATATGTCGGAGGGTGCCGGAGCTAGTGATGAGGAGATTCGACAGATCATTCATGAGGAGGTGGCTGCGGTCATCAGAGCTAAGATACCAGAGATGTTCAGGTCTATTAAGACCGCGCTGATTGAGACATTTGACGAGCGTTATGCCGCTCTTTCTGAGGCTGCTGTTGCAGCGGCTACCGCAGCGATCGCTGCGGCGAGACCCCAGGGAGGTGATGCGTCACTGTTTCGGGAGTTCAGCAACACCAAACCACCAGAGTTTGATGGTACACAGGATCCGGTGGCAGCTATGAGGTGGATATCTGATATGGATGGGTGCTTCTTCACTTGCTCATCCCCTGAGCATTTGAAGGTTCGGTTCGCGCTGAACCAGCTTCGCTTGGGAGCGAAGGACTGGTGGAAGTTTGTGACGGCGCATTTCACGCCTGCTGAGCTTTCGACAGTGACCTGGGAGAGGTTCACTACCATGTTCCGAGATGAGTACGTTCCCCAGGTGGAGAGGGAGCGTTTGGCACAGGAGTTTTGACCCTCAAGCAGGGTACTGAATCAGTTACAGCGATCACGAGGATGTTTCATGAGAGGGCGATGTTTTGCCCTGAGCACGTGTCCACTGAGCAGGCACGTATGAGCCGCTACCTGAGCATTTTGAGACGGGATATTCGGGAGTTCGCTGCGAACTCCTCGTATCGGACATTTGCTGAGCTTCAGGAAAATGTCCGAAAGTGGGAGATTGAGCTTGAGACTCAGGCCAGGGAGGAGGCGGAGTCTCTGGGAAGGGATCGGCGGCCGGCACAGCTCCAGCCGGCAGCCAAGCGGGCCAAGCCTGCTGATCCCAAACCCGGGAGCCAGAAGGGCCGCACTTGCGGGAAGTGCGGCAAGGGTCACGATGGAGTCTGTCGAGCAGGATCTTGCTACAAATGTGGCAAGGAGGGGCATATGGCCAAGGACTGCCCCAAGGGGTTTGGAGTGTGTTTTCACTGCAACCAGACCGGACACCGGAAGGCGGAGTGTCCGCTGCTGCGTGGAGCGTCTCAGGGATCTGCTCCCGCCACCATCAGAGCTACAGAGAGTCGGCCCGTGAAGGCTTGAGGCACCGACAGCTCGAGGGAGAGCCTTTCAGCTGACTGCGGAAGAGGTCTGCGCTGCACCCGACGTTGTGGCTGGTACGTTTCCTTTTATATATTTATTTTTGGTGTTGAGATATTATGCTTATATTATGCTATGCATAGGTACCTTCCTTGTGAACTCTATGCCTGCTTTAGTGTTATTTGACTCGGGTGCGAGTCGGTCTTTTGTATCTTCGGCCTTTAGTCAGCATATCAGTGTTAGTCGTGAGGCATTGAGTCGGCCTCTGCGGGTTTCCATAGCCGCCGACAGAGTGATTTGTGCCACGGAGGTCCTCCGGGGATGTGTGTTAGAGATTTTTGGGGTTGAGTTTCCGATCGATCTGGTTCCTATTGCGATGGGTGATGTCTGTGTCATAGTGGGCATGGACTGGTTGAGCCGATTTGGCGCGGTTATCGACTGCGAGCGTCAGCTGGTGACCATACGAGATCCTAGTGGGGGAGTTCTTTCGGTATACGGCGAGGGTACACATTCTGGATCAGCCTTTTGTTCAGCCGCTAGGGCGAGGCAGTGTTTACAGCAGGGCTGTAAGGGTTTTGTGGCGTATGTGATGGATACGCGAGTGATCTCCGAGAGACCGAGTTCAGTGGATGAAGTTCCGGTGGTGCGTGAGTTTCTAGATGTTTTTCCCGAAGAATTACCAGGTGTGCCTCCCGTGAGGCAAGTGGAGTTCGGTATCGATTTGGTTCCGGGAGTCGCGCCTATCGCTAAGGTGCCTTATCGCCTTGTACCTCCAAATATGCAAGAGTTATCCTCGCAGCTTCAGGAGCTGCTGGGGAAGGGGTTTATTCGGCCGAGTAGCTCGCCGTGGGGAGCACCCATTCTGTTTGTGAAGAAGAAGGACGACTCGCATCGAATGTGTATTGATTACTGAGAATTGAATAAGCTGACGGTCAAGAACCGTTACCCGTTGCCGAGGATCGACGATTTATTCGATCAGTTGCAGGGAGCATCTTGGTTCTCCAAGATCGATTTGAGGTCGGGCTATCATCAGGTGAGAGTGCGGGACGAGGACGTCCATGAGCAGGGAAATCCATATCGCAATATGCTGTACAATTTAAGATAAATAATGTTACAATTATTTATATAAGTTATCATCTAAAAAAGTAGTTAAAATTTAAATTTAACGAATGTTACCAAAGAAAGTAACCATCCAAAGTTAGTAACTGCAAGTAACCTCGACCAAAACACCACATCCAGTGGAAATATATGCAGCCTATGTTTGGTGTTGATGTTGGAAGAGATCACACTCCATTCTTTCCAAAAAATCAGCGTACTAGCAGCATGAACACTGTCCAACAAGAGCTGATTTGAAACATCATTACTCTCTTCATTCACAATGTCTTCATTTGCTTTTTCAGGACTCTCCACTGCTTTGTTTTTATTTTTCCTTGTTTTGGTGATTTTCTTCACTTTTGGTGTGGATTGCATCTAAAAATTAAAATTAACATGTTAAATAATTATCAGTAATGTTATATTTTATAAATATACCAAGTTTAAAATACGAGTTTTGTACCACTGTGAACGGAGTCCGTTGATACCAAGGAACACCCCTCTTTCGTTGTGGCATATCAATAGGAGTGATTGTTTTTGTGTGATGTTCACCCACGTCCAATGACGGCTCAACATGCGTAGGTGTATGCCCAGCTTCCCCCCTCCAAACCATGACTACCTAAAACATCATAGTTCGTGGGGGGTGCCATGGTAATATGTTTCTTTCTGCTCTTCATTTATCATCTCCTCCTCCTTGTCTCCAAACCCTGTGTCTGGCTCATCTTTTTTATTTAATACATGATCTACTTTAGAAGATAAGTCAGCCACAACGCTTAGTAGACGCTTCACTAATGCCTTTATGCTCGTCTTCTTCTTCTTTACCAACCTTGTTGATGTGTCAGTTGACATATATTTTCTTTCTATATGAACATGTTGCGAGGAAGAAGCATTTGTGACAGATTCAGTCGAAGATGTTTCCGACTTGTACGTCTTTCTTCGAGGAGGCGAGTCAAAAACAAGTGGACTATTTCGGATGTGACTATGTTGCGGTAGGGGAGACTCTGGACTATTTTGGAACGGAGTATGCTGCCGTGGGGGAGACTCTTCATGGTTAAGAGTCCAGTTCACGTAGTAAACATAAAACGACAACATCAACTCTGTCGGGGAAACCACGACAAAAATAGCTTGGTTGTTAGGCTGGAAAAATCAAATTGTTAGATTAACATGATAAACATTGGAATTTGTAAATATATAATCCTTAATATTAAAAGCATACCAAAGACACGTTGATTATTCGGCGATATTGAACCCAAGTTATCGGTGTTTTACTTCTCCACGACCTCATCCGTGGCAATTCTGTCGGCGTGTGTATATAAAACTGGGTTGCCTCGGGGAACATCTCCAAAATCCATATCTATGTAAAAATATGTAAGCATAAATAGAACTATGATAACTATTTAAATGCATTAGAAACTAACCTTAAGCGGAAGCATAAAACCGGGAAGAATATACTTGTGTACTTTCTTGGATTCGGGATTGGCCTGCTTTAATAATTTAAATTCTTCTATTTTCTTAAACATTCCACGCATCATCCGTGAAGTATAGGCCTAGAAATATGTACCCCATGCAAACCTGCAATTTTCAATTTATTTTTTATAATTACTATTATTGTATATATACACAATCTTTAGATGTAATACCTAGTCCAATCATCTATATTACCAGCAAGTTTGTATACTACAGCGGGAAAGCCCGTTTTAACGTCTCGTCCGTGGAGACCCTTCAACATAAAAACAAGCTGGATAAGCATCACAACATCTTCATCTTAAACTTCCAAATAATTCGGAGACATAATGAAGTCTTCTAAATCTTTCAGTCGCAAACGTGCATCGGAAATGTCTGGGAACAACCGAGCACAAAGATTTGAATTTGACCAGCCTTTTTCATCATGGAGTAAATCCACATAAGGACCAACTTTTAAACCACTAATAAGAATATATTCAGTTTCACCAAAATCCAAATGTATCCCTTTTATATCAAAAAGAAACCTCCCCATTTCAAATACTTGTTGAGACCTCACTTTGTGCAATATCATCAAATGCACAAGTAAGGGATCAACATGTGGGATATGCATTCCTAAGAATATTCCAAACGACGAAGCTTCGAATAATTGTCGTTGTGATTGTTTTAGGCACAACAAATAGTCTTTAATGATAGTATCCACCACACCTTTTAAAGCTAAATCCGATTTTTAATTGAGATCTTTGTGCTACAAAACATAACACTTAATTTCATATAAAACGGCAGAAAAAATGGAAAAATTAGTTTCAGGTCATTTCGTGGAGATCCCTCTGCGAAATGACCTCTAGCCTCCACAGAGGCTCAATTTTATTCTATTTTATGATTCCATGGAGAAAATACATCACTCCGTGGAGGGTCCTGTGCGGATTGACGTAACCCTCCGTGGAGTGACCTACACCTCCGCGGAATGGATCATACCCAATTCGAATCCTGTGAAACCCTAATATGAAAATATGTATATTTTCCCTATATATTCCATGTAATCAATTGGGTTTTCGACAAATTTCAATGATATACTAGATTAATCAAAAGAGGGGAATGTGAGAAATACCTGGGAGCCGAATCCGTCGGCCAAAATAGCGGGGAAATTGTCCTCCATCGGTGCCAGAATTTAAGTGGGTAATGTGAGTAATCGATGTCGCCGGAAAATGACATCGTTTGATGTCGTTGTCGCCGGATTTGATCTCGATGTCGCTGGAATCATCAATATACTGTCGATGCGGAGGGTTAGATTTTGCCAAACACAAATCGGGAAATAACTGGTGACCAAAGAGGAAGAATCGATTTTGTCAAAGATAAGAGGGTGAAAAGACAAAAATACCCCTCTCTGCGGAATGTATGTCTATACCTGGAAAAGTCATTTTTATGACTAAATTTTGAAATTGCCCCCCCCCCCATTTTTTGCCTATTGGCAGTATATTCCCATATCTTGAACACGGTCATTCCTGCTATGCTAAGGTTATGAGGAGTGGTCATCACTAATCCACCGGAAAAGCACCGCCATGAGCCACATTAACTTCATCACCAACCCACCACCAACCCATTAGACATTGAAAAATGGCTACCACTGTATAATATATTTTTTTAACATTATATTAAACAAAACACATAATTTATAACATCAATAATTTTTTTGAAAACATAAAAAAATAAAATCACATTTCATCAATTAAAAACATAGAAATTTAAAACCTAAATTACTAAAATAAACATAAAACATACCAAATAAATCATTACATTACTTAAAAACATAAAAAAAAACATAGAGAAATACTACTCGTCGTCGTTGTCGTCAACGGTCTCATCTGCTTCGTCATCACCGTCCTTACCCGCCTCGTCGTCATCACCCTCATTCTCTTCATCTTCATTGTCATTTTGCCATTGGAATTTTATATCCCATATGTGATCGGTCAAATCGTGATGTAGACTGTGATGTGTTTTATGGTTTTGTATTTCTAAAACCCTAAAGAAGTATGTCGGGCTGCCAACTTGTATTAATACAAGTGGATTAAGATATCGTTCTCGGTATATGAACAAATAGACTTACCCTATTTTTCTATTATCATATTATACAAAATAATACAAGCAATCAATATCGTCATCATTTTTACCTTATCCCATGTTCGTGTCGGATGTTTGATTATGTGGCACTTTTGTTTTAGGACTCCAAACTCTCGTTCCACATCCTTCCTTGCAGATTCCTGTGCTAACTTGAACAATTTTCATTGTTCATTGGTCGAAAATGAATATGACTTGACAATTGTAGCATACTCTGGATATATCCCATCACCTAGGTAATACCTATACTTATATTCATTTCCATTCACAACATACGAAATGTTTGGTGCTTTACCCTGCAAAATATTGTTAAATAACGGAGACGCTTGGAGAAAATTAAGGTCATTTTTTGATCCTGTCATACCAAAGAATGCATGGCAAAACCATAGGTCTTGTGAAACAACCGCCTATAATATAACAGTCTGGATCGCGCGATCACCTCGCATAAACTGATCACACCACACATTGTGACAATTTGCCAACTCCCAATGTGTACAATCAATGCTACCAAGCATCCCTGGAAAACCATGTTTAGCTTGACGCACGACATACAACTATTCGTCATCACTTTTAGTCGGATGTTGCAAGTATATGTCATGTTAAAGTTCTATAACACACTCACAAAAAAGATATGTACTGTCTTGACCCGTCATCTTAGGCATTTTCAAATACTCATCTAATGCGTCTATGGTTATGCCATAAACCAATTGTCTAAGAGCATCTGTACATTTTTGTATTTTAGTAAAACCACGTTTACCTCTAGCATCCCATCTTAATACGAAAAACTCATAATTACATTCCAAATCTTTAGCTATACGTAAGAATAAATTTCTACTAATACGATAATGTTCATCAAATTTCGATAGATCATATAAACTGTCAGGGGAAAAATAATCATATAACAAAAGTTCATTTGTTGTCCCTTGATCCCGGTTGATCTATTTTCTATGCTTCTTCTCACTGTGTGAAATTTCATCTCTCTCACGAACCATATTTTGTGTCATAAACAATAGTGTGTGTAATACCAACTTGTCGTCAGAATCATCATCTAATGAAGAAGAAATTGAACCGAAAAAATTATGCATTTTTTTGTTGAATGTGTGTGTTTGTTTTGAAATAGTTTGTATGGTTTTCTTGTCATGGTTTTCTTTCCACTCTGGATAGTCTAATAATTTATGGTGTTGTTTAATCGGTTGCTAAAGTATTTCATCACACATTCGCGTCCCATAAGACCCTAAATGGCTAAACCTATACCATCCAATCTGCTATGTGTGTACGTTAAAGCAAAGTTTTCAATTTACGATGATGGAGGAGGTTATCTGCGACATGTAAGATGAAAGAACCACAACATGAACTTCAGAAGATAATATTGTACATTTTTTATTACAACTTTTGTTTACCTAACAACAATGGTGCATCAATGCATGAACCAAAGGGCTTCTAGCCCAACGGTATCAGGTGTTGCCCTCCCTCTTTGAGCCGTCGTGGACATAAGTGGAATTAGGTGTTAGTTTAGGAGGGGATTATATATTTATATTTGGGAAATTGAGTAATCTAATCACTTCTTTGAGTTTTTTTAAATATAACCAAGTTTTTTTTTGATAAATAATCTTTTGGTCCGGAATGGGTCATTTCGGACCTGAAAACGGCTCAAGATTAATATTGTAGCCTATTGGTATATATATATATATATATATATATATATATATATATATATATATATATATATATATATATATATATATATATATATAGGTGCCACACACAAAAATATGGAATACGTGTTCCGGAATTAGCAGATCCGAAGCATGATCTACCTGCATTTCAGACCAAATTTTCAGCATGGATTCATCAAACCAAGTATGTTCTACACATTAAGTTACTTTGGTTTGATTTTTTTGAAATGATTTACGTATTCCTGAATGGTCCAAAACACAAGGAACTGTTCGATTAGGTGTCTAAGCCCACAACTATAATTTGTATAAACTTGAATTCATGGTAGCACAGTCCTTTTAGGTTTCCCTCAAGCCTGGCAATTGAATAAGATAACTTTTAGAGAGAGAATATTTATTTATTAATTTATTATACGGTTAATAAATTAATTAGAAATCAAAATAAATAAATTGTTAATATATTATGAGAATAATATATTTATTGGAATTAGTATTATTTAATTAATAATTAATCAGAAATTAATTAAAATTCATTAGGTTAATTAAAAGTAAGAGGACTAAAGGTGACAATGTTCAATAGTTGAGCATTGAGCAATTCTAGAATCTCCCAAAATGGGAGGAACGAAATCTAGAAGCCTTATAGGGTTTCCTTGGGCTCTAAGGGTGCCTTGGATGCCTTAGGGAGGAAGAAAATAGATTAGGGTTCTCTTGGAGATACCTGTCTTGTCTAACACCTTCCTAGACTCCTATTTAAACCCCTAAGGGTTAAGAATTTTCTTTTTGACTCTTCCTAGAGGCTTAGGGACGAAATTATTCTTCTCATTGTCTCTCTCTTCAAGCTCCTTGGTTGCTAGGGTTTGGGTGTGAACCATTAGAGGCGCGACACTTGTAGCGCTTACTTTCAAGAGTTTTTCAAGTAAGGATTCAAGATTGTTTACAATAACAATCTTTAATGTTAGTTTTCTTAGCTTATGAATTAGATTGTTCATAGGAAAATTTTGTAGATTAGCCGTTCATAGAATGTTTCTATTTGTGAAAGACATAGATCCAATTAGGTTGCATGTGCCCAAATTATTTGAATTGTTTGAATATATTTCCACTTAGGTGCATTGTAGTTGTAACCCTAATAACCCATTAGTGGTATCAGAGCCTAGGGTTGATTTCATATATTTGTACAATGGTGAATCGATTAAAGAAAGAAAGAAACCTCATTTTTGGATTTATCGCAGCTTACGTCGTGAGCATGCATGCTCACGTTGTGATCCTAGGCCAGATCCGAATATATGGTGCTAATTTTCCTTAACAACTTTAATGTGATATCTACTTGCCATATTTTATCCCCAAATCCGATTTTGTTGTATCTAGAATGATAAATTAAAAGCCTAGATGTTAGGAGATTAGTATTTGATATGGTTAATTGTTTTGTGATTAATATGATTGATTTTTAAATGTTTAAATAATAAATCTTGATATTAATTGAAATTAATAATTAATGTCAAATAATATTTGGTATTTTGAAAAGTTTAAACTACATCCCTATGGATCTTATTATTAATTTAATTAAGTAATTAATTAAAAGACAATTAATAAATTCATAAAAGGTTTAAATTTAATTAAATTAAAAGTTTAATTGATTAAAATATTAAACCCTTGCTATTTTAAAATGTTTTAGAATACACCTTATACTATGTATACATAATTAAAGATTTAATATGTATTATATGTATAAGAATAGTCAGTCAAATCGCTAGTACGCCTCATTCACGAAACAATGCTATAAAGAGGGTATAAAGAAGTGACCTATAAAATGGTCGTTGAATGAGTGTTCACTCTCACCCACCACTCTCCTGTGTGGTGGAAGGTTTTTACCGGAACTGATTTGATAGAACATAACCTCATTAAAAGTATAATGATATAAAGTAACCAAACTATTTTCTAAAAATCTCACTCTTAGTTACTTTAGGAAAAATGTGAATTTGTATGCTAATCCATGAAATTACACATTACACTTTATAAGTCATTAGTGGAGCATGTGTGGTTAACCGGCACACTAGTGGGGAACTAATAAAGAATGGTAATGGGTGTTTCAAAAATTATCGTTGATTAATGGAGCACATGTGGTTAACCGGAACATTAAAATGAGATGATAAAGGACATCAATAGTACCAAGCTAATTTGCATGGTTATTCACATCTCATTTGTGATCCTCGACATCTCATTCACAAAAGTAAGAGGATAATTGAGATTAAACATGCCATTGATTAGATTCAATGAATCTCATAAGACCTAGGATTTTTATAAGATTGAAACTGGTAAAAGCCTTATCTACATAAAATAGAGTCGAATTTGATTACGACACCCCTCTTCA